ACATTGACAAATCACTCAGAAATAAAGTGTCCGCAGTTACTATTGGGACGCATTTGATATCTTTATACCTTCAGCCCCTACATCTACCTCAATTTAGTAGTGAAAATATCATGATTGGTGAAATTTGCTTTAAACATTTAATAACACAAATTGTGCAAAMATACCAATTGTGTTCAAAATGCCTTTAGTTACAGTGGAAAATCATAACTTTTATAAACGCTTTTCGCWTACGAATCTACGAGATGAGACGGCAAGTGAAATGTGTGAAAAAAACAAAAAAGCACAATCGGCGATGGAATATCGGTTTTATCAAAACAGAGAATTAATTTTTCGGTCTATTACGCTGCAGTCCAATTAAATGAGGTTCCAATTGTGTAAATGTTAAAATTTTATATATATTTTTAAAATTTCCTGAAAATGTATTTTTGTGGTAGAATATAAACGAATTATTTCTGTTCTATTTGGTTCCTTTGTTACAGAAAATTTGTTCAGCGCATTATTTTAGTGCTATTTAATATTAATTATGCCAGAAATTGGTGATATCTACAATTTTTCAATTCAAAGATTTTATATTCAGGAAATTCAATTAGGCGCGGAATATCCGAATATTTTGATGATGCACGTATATAAGCTCACGAATAATTTGAAGATGCATGTACGTTCATCAATTAATGGTTAAAATTATTTGGCATTATAAATGCAGAAACTCAAAGTTTGCTGGAGTATTTGATAAACTGATTAAATTATACTCTATTTTCGTAGACATAATCAACTAAAATTAATATTACTATTATTATATGCAGCTGTAAATGTGATACTGAGTACACATTTTGCACGAAGCTTTACAATAGTACAAGCAGGATGGCGAAAGTATTAAACAGATAATGGTTTTAAATTACTAAACTTATTAAATTGACGATTTTACAACGCTTTTTTTACAAATATTTGTATATATTGGACACAAAGCTCTCAATTGCTCACTAAAAATAATCAGAACTTCTACTTGAAAATATCTAAGGCCAATAACTCTTAATAGAAGCGAAATATATTTCAAGATTTTATATTTGCGTAAGCGAAAATCCATAGGCTATTTCAGTACGAGAAAATGGGGAAAAATAATATTTAGCCAAAGCTGTTCTCTGACTTGATCCGAAGTATAGTTTCCTATGAGATACTTGACAACTTTCCATATTCAGTTAGTCTCGTCTAAGGCGTTTAAAACCAGAAATTATTGAAAATTAAGATGATCGGGATTAATTTCAATTTAATTCGGAATTTATAGGAAATCCTTGTTTGATGATAGTATTGAATGGTATTATCATGCGGTCAGTATTATATGGTATCTGAGAAGCGCTCAGCTTAATTGCCTGGACTTAATTAAATCAATTACTGACATTCCGCGAGATAAAATATGTTCTAGGATTTGATTTCATATCAATATACATATTTTCATTATGCAGTATCTGTGGAAATGAGTTTTGAAATTATTACTATTAAATTTTGTCTGCAGGGTGTATGCTTAATTGAGGCGGTCAAAGAGCTGCTGATAATGCTAACACTTCAATTTAAATACATTTTAAAGGGTTACTTAGAAGATTAGCGCGAACAGTCGAATTCATGCCTGCACTTAGGACGCAACATAACAAGCTAATCAGCAAACAGACTGGATTCGAAGTTCACAAATGTCCATTACATTACTGGTAGCCATTAACTTAGGGTAGAGGCCGGGATCAGATTCATTTAAATGATAGGTTTTGTATTTGGATTACGCGTTCGTACTACAACATTATTCGAATTTGCAATTATCGCTGCCTTCTTTCAGTGCGTTGATTTTTCCGCCAAATAAATTTAACATTTGCCAGAAATAGAGATTCGGGTATTTCTTCAATCACACGAGCATATTTTGTGTTCGAAGTTAACTAATATATA